AAGAAAAAGTTAACAGTACATCAACTAAGGTATAGTTAAAGAGGAAGTTAAGAGAACCATAACAGACAGAACGTTAACGCGATTCGAAGAAAGTTAACAGTACCAGAGCTAAGAGAACATTAAAAATGACCGAGGGAAATATGACAAGAATGAGAGGTTTAACATAGCTGAGGGAAGTTAACAGTGCCAAGAATGAGAAAGTTGTAACGTGAGTCAAGGAAGGGTTACAATACTAATCATGAGATAATTTTAACATAACTTAAAGAAATTTAAGAAAAACCACGACAGGCTGTAAGCAAGTGAGATGAATATAAACAAGAGCATAATGAGGAACTGTATTATTCTCGAGTTTTCCTCGTCGTGTAAACGTCAAATTCACAAGCCAGACTAAAGATTAAGAACTTCTCCTTCGGCATTGTGCTTTATGTCGTGTTTAGATAACTATTCACTTGTAAAGTTTATTTAATGTTTCTCTGGTGTGTGTGTGTGTAGGGGAAAGCAAAGACGGGTACAAAGGGGTGACTGATTTAATGAGTTCCAGTCCAACTGGTTCTTAGTCCTCAAGTAGGACCCAATCCTAATGAGTTCTAATCCGAATGGCCAAGTTACCTTTGGTTAGGTTGGGATCTGTAAAAGCTGATGCGAAACCTATTAAGATTGTGGCTCATTACACTGGGTATCAAATATTTCGAAATATGTTTATCTTATTTTTTTTATAGTTTATTTTTGTTTTGGGGGCAATGATACTAAAAGTGACGTTACTTTTTATACAACATCAATAATTTCCTCATATAATAGCAGTTTATCATACCGATGGTTTCAACCGAAATAAAAAAAATTGCATTGTTGATAAAAACGTTTGATATTATTGTTGAAGATAGGGTTATTTAACTAGCATGTCTTAAAAGATAAAACTATAGTGCACATTGGACAATCAAAGACAAAGTCGTGTCGCGGTTTTATCCGAAGACTAAATATAACTCGTGAAACATTATGAGGGTCCCCTACCACAAAGCAGAGCGCACCAAAAGTTTAGCCCTAAGCCATATTTTTCACCAAATTTCACGACACGACTTTTGTCTTTCATTGTACATCACAAAACAAAAAGTTCTTTATCAATAATTACTACAAATTAAAATCAACTAAAACATTATGTTAAAAATGGACATTTGAACGACAGTTTTTCTTGTGATCCTTGTGGACATCTCGAATCAAACTCCAAATGTAGTCACGCATCATTACGTTATCCCATCGTCCCTGATATTTCTTCTCCGTGGCTTAGATATCCGGATGAAAACGTTCACCTGCTATTCACGAAATGCACCCAAATTTTCTCTAAAGAAGCCCAAGTGTAAGTTCAAAAAGTGTACCTTCAGGGACATTTTGCACCCAAGCTCTCTGTATCGTACAATCAAATTTTCGACTTGTTCTTTGTAGTTTTCTCATTTCTTATTGCTCAGAAACACATCTGGTATTTGCTTGCCTGGCATTCTTTTCAACAGTATACATTTTGTCTTCCATTTCTTTATTTTTATTTATTTTTTGTCAACATCTGCCTAATTTGTGATCAAACAAATATGCCACCTTTGACTTTGGCCTCAGACACTTTTGGGAGCATTAGAAGTATATGCTTGAAGGCATCACTTTCAGCACTCAATGCTTTGATGAACTGCTTGGTAAGTTCCAACTTTATGTGAAGTGTCACCAATAGATATTGTCAGTTTGGATGAGATCATTGTTTCAAACATGGTGTTCACCAGGGATTAATACGTTTCTACCAGGTGTTATGTACTTATGTTTTCCTCAGTCATCCCATTAAGTGTCTCGTATTTTCCTGACACCCTATTGTGATATATGTTTTGTTATTCCAATTTGTGATATGTTTTACTAACTGATATGATTAAAGAACATTAATAAATTATTTTTTGAAACAGTTTTCAATGTGAGAATATTGCAGTGGTTTAAATGAAGAATGTAAAGATGTGCATAAGTTAGAGAAATCGTATTGGAACAAGGAGAAGAAGCTTTCTCTGGGTATTATTGGTGTAGGACATGGCATTTTGTATCGTGAAAAAACCCACTGGCTGTAATAGTAGAACGGATAATGGAAAAATCGTGCAAATGGTGATACAAGCATGAAATTTGGCATGATCATACCCTCGGGGCTACTTGTCAAATCTGCCTAATTGGCCATTTGGATATCCAAGATGGCGACCATTTTTCAAAATGGCTGACAAATTGACCTTCGAGAGATGATTTTTTTTTTTTAGAAATTGATGTAGTTGGTCAATCTAAATGATCTTAGTGTCGATATGTTTGTTTTCAAGCATGCTCAGATGATTTTTTTTCTATTTCTGATACCCTCAGATACATATATATGTCTTATTTATGACTGGTTATATGTACTGGTTTTATGTTTTTTCCAACTAGGTGAGGGTAGCATGCAGAGGGTCTCTGCATGTGAGGGAGTGATTGTCGGTCACTACCAGGGCACACTGGTGACATCACTGCTGTGCAACCCAGCTAAGAAAAAGCATGTCATACTGCAACAGCTTACTATCCCAAATGCTGCTTAACCAACCCCAAATCAGTTAAGCAGCCGCACCTGAATTGACAGGATGTGCCAGCGCGGGAGAGCCGAGCCAGGGATAACAGGGCTTTAGTTATCTGGATGGTGTACAGATTGCACGGGACTGATGACACTGGATGATCGATCGGACTAGGTGTAGAGCAAACGGCATGAACCTGGTTGTATCCCATACAAGAAAGTACTCATCAGGGTGGTAAAAGGATAAACCCTCGGCCCTGAAGATCAAAAATAGTTATGGACACAAAATCTACCAACAAATCATTCCTCACTGACTGGGCAAAGTGTTGTCTTTGTCAACAGGATAAGAAGGAAGGTAAAAGTCTGTTCTACCATCCAATTAAGAAAAACAGATCCTCCTTCTTCAAACATGACCACGTTGTTAGCAGTTCCAAAGAGAAGGTACTGAAAGATGACTGTCAGCTGTTCTCGAGACTATTCATCTCCAGTCAGAACAGACAGCATGACTTGCAAGAATTCAGTGACAACAGCAAGCTTCATACATGTCAGAAGTCACAGCTGGCTGAAATTCTTCAAGCACAAGTGAATGCTACAGAGAGAGAACCACATGGAGATGCTATCATCATAGTTGGCTCAACACTGATCAATGCCCTGCCTCCACGCACCTCAAAGACTTTTGATGCCTATGCCAGAGAAGACATCCTTCCCAAAGTGGAATTCTATGGTGCCAAATACAATAGGGTGGATGTAATGTTTGATGTGTACAAAAAGTCAAGTCTGAAGCCAGGTCGAAAAGAGGACAGGGTATCAGGAGAAGAGTTACAGGAACCAGTAAGACTCCCAAAAACTGGAGAAGCTTTCTACGAGATGACAAAAACAAGACAGAACTATTCCATTTTCTCGCGGAGAAAATGTGTGAAGCACAGACGACAAACACGGCGCTTGTGACAAAGGGAGAAGATGCCATTAGCAACACAGAGAAGTCCATAGAAGCTGTGGCTCCATGCTGTCATGAGGAAGCAGACACACGAATATTTGTGCATGCTAGGGATGCAGCAATGGAAGGTAGCAAGTCCCTCATCATCAAGGCTAATGACACTGACGTGGTCGTCATAGCAGTATCTGTACTGCCACCAGTAAAGGAGCTTGGTCTTGAAAACATGTGAATTGCCTTTGGCCAAGGAGCCAGTCATCGATGGATTCCAGTTCATGATGTAGTTTCTGCGATAGGGCCTAAGAAAGCTAGTGGGATCCTATACTTTCATGCTTTCACTGGCTGTGACGTTGTGTCTGGCTTCCGTGGGAAAGGAAAGAAATCTGCATGGCAGACATGGAATGTCTGTGATGAAATTTTAGAAACATTCACCAAACTCAGCCAATGTCCAACAACAGTTGCTGATGTTGACCTGCAGAAGCTGGAAAGATTTGTTGTCCTCATGTACGACAGATCTAGTGCAGCCACTGGTGTAGATGAGGCAAGACTAAATCTCTTTTCCCGCAAGCAGAGACCATATGACTCCATTCCACCAACCCAGGCAGCCCTCAAGAAACATGCAAAGTGGGCTGCCTACCAGGCTGGTATCAGCTGGGGCCAGGCAACAATCTCTAATCCAGAAACCAGCAGTCCTGTCAACTGGGGATGGACGCAGAAGGGAGAGGCATGGCAGGTACGTTGGACGACTCTTCCCCCGATTGCGACATGCTGTCAGGAGCTGACCAAATGTTCCTGTAAGAAAGACTGCAACCAGAGATGCAAATGCTTTCTCTCTGAACTTTCCTGCACAGCACTTTGCAGCTGCATATTTGAACAGCAGTAAATGCACAGAGATGTACTGTCAGGAGAAGTCACAGGAACCAGTGCTAATGGTGAATACTTTTTGTTTAGTAAGTTCTTTTTTGTTGTATTTTTTTACTAAAAGTGTTATTTTATGTGGATATAAATGTTACAATGGACTTAAAACTATAAAAAATCATCTGAGCATGCTTGAAAACAAACATATCGACACCAAGATCACTCAGATTGACCAATTACATTATTTTTTATAAGAAAAAATTCAACTTTTGAAGGTCAATATGGCGGCCATCTTGAAAAATGGCCGCCATCTTGGATTTTCAAATGGCCATTCAGGCAGACTTGACTACTAACCATTAGAGAATTACCATGCCAAATCTGGTGCTTGTATCACCATTTGCATGATTCTCTTGAAAAATTGCATTTAGCTGCCCCACTATAAGGGTATTCCAGTGTTTTCTAGTAGTCATAAGATATTATTATCTATTTGTGAATCATACTTGAAAAGTAGAGACAGAGAACATATTGTTGGATTAAGATATATGACTGATATTAATGTAAATTTTGTGGAAGCTATCAGCACGTGTAAAACCATTTTTGTTCAATTTACTTTTTATGTAAATGCTCTATTTTCCTATCTTGATTATATTTATGTTACAGCATAAGGGAGACTGTGACATATGGGGGCCTTGGTCCGGGATTGTTCATTGTGGAATGTGGATTATGAATAGTGAGGCAGTGTAACAATACAAGTAAGTGGTTAGTGTTGTATCTACTGTGTTGTAAGGTAGATTTTACTTGTATTTTTGGTGTTGAACTAATCAGTGATAACAATGGGAAGTGTTGAACAATTTACAACAACTAGAGACGTGCATTATTTGTATCAGTGAACTAAGAAGGAATTATGTGACATAGCATCATTATATGAAATCTCTTAGAGATGTAATGCTAAAGGTGACATGCAGAGAGAATTAGTGGAAGAATTACTTTCTTTTGGAGTATTAAAAAGTGCAAATTATACCATGGAGAGTGGTGATGAAATAAGTCTGGGTACAAGAACAGGCATGAGTGAGAGCATCATTTTGGAAAAAATTAAATTGGAATTTGAGTTAAAGAAGATCCAGGAAGGGAGAGAGGCAGAGAGTGTGAGAGAGAGGATTCAGGCAGAGAAAGAGGTGAAACTTAGGCAATTGGAGTTAGAATGGCAGCAAATGTCTATGAGACATAGTAGCCAAGGAGCAGATGCTAGAATTAGTCATTTGCCAGAATTTATTGAGGAAGAAGCAGAGAATTTCTTTATAGAGTTTGAGAAGGTGGCTAAATTAAGAAATTGGAAAAGAGAGGATTGGGCTCTTCTGATCCAGACTCGTTTTAAAGGCAAAGCGAGAGAGGCATATGCTTGTTTAAGTTTGACGGAGTCTGTTGATTATGAGGCTGTGAAGGAGGCTGTTCTGAAAACTGTTGAGTTAGATTCAGAAGTGTATAGGAAGAGATTCAGAAGTATTAAGAAGTTACCTGAGCAAACCTACTTGGAACTGGGTAGAGAATGTGGAATGAAATTTGATAGGTGGTGTAAGTCTAAGGAGATTATATCTTTGGAGGTTTTGAAACAAATGGTTTTAGTGGAGCATTTTAAAGGTTTAGTACATCCTGTTATGAAATATGAGATAAATAAAGGTAAAATCAAGGATATAATGGAAGCTGCACGATTGGCAGATCGGTTGGCAGTGGCATATAAGATGTACAGAGAAGATATCTCACACAGACTAGGTGGAGGCAAGTACTTTAATAAACAATATCATCAAAATATCTCATCGGGTGCTAAGCAGCAAAACCAAGGTTCAGGTTATCAAAAGGGGCAAAATAATCAAATGTCTCATGGTAACATGGGTGAAAGATATCAAGGGCAATATCAGAATTATTTTGCTGGTTGGCAAGGGAAGCCACCAATGAAATGTCTTAACTTTGGTAAGGTTGGTCATGGTAAATATCAATGTAAGAATATTCAGAAGTCAGCTGGGTTAACTGTGTCTTTGGGAAATCCTAGATATGTTCTCCAAGATGTGATAGATGTCAAACACCATAATACTAAACGGGTCTAATGTGAATTTTGAACCGTTTATCACCGAGGGAAAAATAGCCCTGAAGGGAGGTCCTGAGAAGGAGAGTGTAGTGATTAGGGATACAGGCGTTAACCTAAGTCTAGTCCTCAAGAGTGCACTAGAGTGGACGGCAGAATCATTCTCTGGTGAAGAGGTTAGGGTGGTAGCTTCCAAATTAGTATGGCAGACTGCTTGAAGATTTCTGTCTCATCAGCTTGCAAGTTTGTCAGGAACTTTGCAACTATTTTGACCCTTACGGCAAAAGATTACGTCCACTTTCCAGAATTAGGCAACATACAAAACCTTGTAGATGAATTTCACAAAATTACAGGGATGTCTGGTGTATTTGGCTGCATTGATGGGTCTCATATCCATATTGGAATCCCTGGAGGGAACACAGCTGAACTACATCGATGTAGAATTGGGTGTAATTGATACATGGTTTTGATTTGTATACTGTAGTTTGTTCGAAGGTGAGCAAGTGTAAGGGTAAATGGAAGCATTATTGGTTTGGTAAAAAAATTGTTTTAGATAATAGATTTTATTATCAAGGTATTTCTCAATAATTTTTTTGGCCTTTAACACATTTTATTTCCTCCAAACATTATCACAGTACAACTTGAAACAGTATTTCAATTATAACAAAATTAAGAAGGGATTACACTGGCATGACTAATGAAAAATATATCACAGTACAGTACAGTACAGTTCAGTATAAGTAAAATTATATCATTCAAATAGTTTAGTATTTTCTTGAAATAATAAATGTACACAATTTTAAAGGCTTCGAAGTACTGTATTGAAATAGTTTGCAAGTGTCAGAGAAATATATAAACAATTTTAGTTCCTTTAAATAAGAACAAGAAGCAAAACCAAATTTATCACAGTACCTGTACACTTGTACAGTATACAGTAATCATACTTAATTTGAAATTTCAAATACAGTAATAGTAATTATCACTCTTGAAAGATTTTAGAAGAACTGTACTGTACTGTACCTGTATTGAAATTGTAATTAAAGTACAAAAGAAATGTGAAATAAAATAGTGATTAACATTCCCAAATAAGTATGATTATATAATACACAGTATCACAGTATATTGTATATGAAATTCTAGCAAAAAGTATGTTGAATCTATTTGTTTCCACAAGAAGTAAAGTAAATAAAATCATAACAAATGTTTGAACATAAAAAATATGATTTCACCTCTCCATTAAGTGTAAAAAACAGTGTTACGACCCTAGGCCTCTTAGGTTGTAACAAAATCACAAATTCAACTTCTCTTTGTATTATAGATCCCACCAAAATCATCACCTCATTACTATGTGGTATATTGAAATTCACGGAGTAAATTTAATTACAGAATATATTAACAAACAAACAATAAAACAAATATATCAGTAATGTACAAAAATAAACAAATACAAATTAAATCTGATCAAATAAATGACTCAACCGAGTGACAAAATAATGAACATAAAAGTAAAGACTAAACACTTATTTAGTCTAGAAACTACCATGAACAACGTGGTCTATCCACCACACGAAACCTCTTAAATAAGTAAGTTATTTTCCATGGAACTCTAAAAATATGATTAACAATCTCACATGTAATACTGTACTTGGTGTTCTAAAACTCGAGCAAGGTTTACACGTTATACCACTAGAAATATACTGTACAATAAGGAAGGAGATACTTAACTTATCACTGCAGGTGTCATGCGACAAATCTTCAGGTGCGATAAACCTTCCGGGCTCAGCAATTACTGATGTTCATTATCGACATCTAAGATGTATGATTGATTTGTGGTTGATTTGTGAGAGCTGAAAATATTAATAAATATGGTAACGGAAGGTTTTGAATGAATTTCCCATTATATCTTGGGCAAACTGAAGACAGTATAAGGATGATATGAAACATACTCACTACCAAAGACAATGAAAGCACAAAGTGGGAAGGGTTTTGAAGTCGATGGAAATTGTGGGGTAAGTACACAAAAAATGAACCAATCAAACCCAAGGAATCCTGACCTAACCTGCCCTAACCTAACAGTACAAAATAATTAAATTTAATACCCAAAACTAAGCATTTACCCCGGAAGGTTTTGCGCACGGAAGGTTTGTCGCACGACACCGGCCTAATACAAACGTCACGCGGCTTGGGATGTAAATAAAGCGAGCTGAAATGACGTCACAAACAAAAGACGTTCACGTTGCGAATCCACAACCAACCATTGAACTCTCACTCGTAACAACAGTAAACAGAGAAAAAATATTAAAATTAAAATTCTCCTTTCATCGCCATCTACACTTAAATGATGATAATAGTCTCCTCTGTAGACAATATTACCCTTAGACCTCTTCAAAACAGCCTCGATACAAGGACACGGTCAGTGTTGGTCTGCTTATTTTATTATTTCTCCAGCACCATAACATTTAATTTACTCTATCTTCTTCATCATCATAACCCACACACACTTCCTCCGGACCTGAAGGAAATATAAATTAATGATAAATGGAGATTGAGGTAGTGTGGACGGCTGGAGGAGGAGGAGGAGGAGGGGGTGCTGAATACCAGACGTGGTGCAGCGTAACGAGCCGGGATTATACCGGGAAGTGGGACCATGACTTGTGGGATAGTGTGGGCTTGGGCGGGATGGAAACGGTAGGCAGTGATGGATATTAGGGATGGGGAGGGGGTGTAAGTGTAACAGGACAGAAGAATGGCGTGATGAAGAACCCGTCGTATCATCCTGTTGTAATCCATATCTCAGTTGAGCATCAGCCGTAAAACAACACCACACGAATGTGAATAAAAAATTCATAAAGCAATAAACATTACCAGTGTCAAAACAGGATATACGCAGCATAACTTTTCTTATACATTCACGTATTTATGTCATGCAAGTCCTTGTTCAAGTAATCAAATGCAAAAAGAAAATTAACTACCATTGTGTTGTTACTAAATTAATCACTATACATCTTTTCAGTCAGATTCAGGTTGTGAGTTTGTAACGCCTTATTGTATATGTTTATTGATTTATTAAGGCCACTCGGTCCTTCATGTCACCCTCTTCGGGCACCAACCTCACTCAGCGTCCAGTAATAGTGTTCGAACCTTACACCCTCTCTCACTACATCCTCACTTGCCCTATGACCTCCTCCTATAGGTCCCCAGCCGTTACCAACACCTCTTCCCTCCCAGACCAGATATCCCTCCTCCTAGTCACAGGCCTGGCATTTGACATTATTAGGGACCTGCCACTCTTTGCCATAAACAGATAAAATGTACCGGGAACTTTCCCCCCACACACTCATCATTCTCTCACTTTATGTAACTTGACAAAACCTATGACCCTTCAGGCTTTTACGCCCTTAATGTACGAGTCATAAAGGCAAGTATGAACTTTTCATACTTCCCTGTTGGGCGCTGTAAACGCTTCTGCGCTTCACCTTGCTCAGGATGTAAGGGGGTGCCCAATAAACTAGCCCCCTCGGGGCAAATCTGAAAAATCTGATAGTGTTTGAACATAACTCAAATTTAAGTATATCATAAATTCAGCCAGACTAATCTTATTTAGGTTATGTTAAATTTAGTTCAGTGTTTTAATATACTGTTGGTTAAACTTCATAAACTGTCTTACTGTGAAAACTATTCAAGCAGAATTAGCATAAGAGAACTATTCTAATCGTTAGGTTATAATAGATAAGATTAGTTAGGTTAGCTAAGTCAACAATGTTTTGTTTTAGATAATTCGTGACGTAACTCTTCAGCTTTAATGGCCTCCGTCAATTTTATTCTTTTAAAGCCAGAGAACCACCACCAGGAGTGACACTGGATAAATCGAGTACCACTGATGGAAACCCATTACCCCTGTGTCAGCATCGTCTCTGGACATAAGTTAGAACATCACACACTGGCTGACATACATAAGAGAAATCTTCCCAGACTCTCAAACACAGACGCACTTGTAAGGTGGGTGACGCATTTCATAGGTCTAATTTCATAACTGTTTATATGTACCCTGTCCAAGGCACAGCAGTTACGCGCCTCAGTACGTTGATATTTCTTTGGGTGTGGCTGAGCACGCGTCTAGCATAACCAGAAGTCTTGCAGGATACGTGGTGTGAGTGTCACCTGTGTTCAGTCTGCAAAAAAACAATATGCAAAAGTCTACAATAGAGAGACCTATCATTGCTATCATGTGTGTGCATACTCTTATCTAACTCCATCATATTTATAGAATAATCTGTTCAGCGAGGTATACATGGACATAATCTATCTTGGCACGTTCATCCATTCTTCAGGCAAGCTGAAGGCTACCACTTCGTGCATGGAAGCTGACCGGCAAAATACACTTTTCTACTTAAGATCATGTATGCAGGTTTCACTCCGTGTTACGGTTACGCATCCTGATACTCTGAGCAATATGAGTGTTCCTCTGAACACAGCTCTACCTGTGTAAAGTCCTTTATTAAAGGGTCAATGTTGTGTATATCATTGTTCTCCCGTTTGTCGTAAACGTAAATGAGTTCCCCAAAGTTAGCAAGAACATTCAAAGACATTAAAGAACTTACTTTTAAAAAAATCACAGTACCACAACTATCGCAAGTTAACCGTTATCCATAATAACTTTTATTGTAAAAACATTAAATATTTATTTACTTCCAGAAAATAAAAAAATTAGTCGGCTACCATTCACACACAAACTGATGAAGTACAATTTAATTGGAGATAACAAAGTTTTGGTACGTGTGCGCTGTGTTCTCGGTCATTATTGACACAACAAAATATTGAAGCGTCAGTTGTCGTAGTGGGTGGCTCATGTTCACACTTGTTTACTTATAAGAAAATCATTACGTCGACAAGTTTGTCCGGTTCATGGGCTCCCGTGTTCTCGTAACCTGTTTCTTCAAGGCTCAGAACATTTATCATGTCGATCACGTTCGCACGAGGCTTTACGAGAGGAGAAAACAGTATGGTGGGTCAAAATATACTGGAGACACTAAGGGCCAGCGGACATAAGACCAGGGCCGCCAGTACACTTACATGGTGACACACAGGTGGGTATTATCTCGCTGTTTTGGCAGTAACCACCCGAAAATGACTGGGCAATTTTTCAAAAGTCATTTAAATACAAGTAATAGATGCAATTGTTTTATGAATATTAATGGCTTTCCCTTGCGAATGCGACCCTTAAGCGAATGAACTTCTCAAGTAATACTTGTAAGTCTTGAACAAGCGACTTGGAGTGAGAGCTGAGAGAAGTGTAATTTATATGGTGGTCGATGACACAGTCTGTACAGGAACACGGGTGTCTCAGGATAAGCTATTCTATGTTCAGTTTTGATTTAAATCTAAATTGTCCTTTAAGATGTAAATACGTTTTTTAGGATGTTTAATTTTCTCATTTCAATTTAGAACAATGTTACCAGCATATTACTTCAGAGTACAGACTTCATGTTAGCCTTGGTTGTAAATTCTTGGCGATATTGCGAGTGTGGGAGGCAATGCGGCCACCCAGGTGCAGTCTACACACAGGTAATAACTGGAGTCATTAACCCAAATGCAAGTACACCCACCTGAAATCATTTCGGGATGGCACGTAAACTGTCAGTCACCCAGTTACCACCATACCACTGTACCGATCTGGACCACCAGCGCACCACTGTACCGATTAGGACCACCAGCACATCACTGTACCGATCAGGGACACATACACACCATTGTGTCGGTCAGGACCATCAGCACATCACTGTACCGGTCAGGACTACAAACACCAATGTACCAGTCAGGACCATCAACACACCACTGTACCAGTCAGAGCCACTAGCCCACCACTGTACCAATCAGGACCACAAGCACCATTCTACCAGTCAGGAACATCAGTCCACCAATGTAACAAATCAAGACAACGAACCCATTACTGTACCAGTCAAGGCCACTAACCCACCACTCACCAGTCAGGACCAACAGCCCACCAATGTACCAGTCAGAACCATTAAGCCACCACTATAACAGTCAGCACCACTAATCCATCACTGTCCAATCAAGACCAGCAGCCCACCAATGTACCAGTCAGGACCACTAACCCACCATTGTACCAGTCAGGACCACTAACTCAATACTGTACCAGTTAGGACCACTAATCCACCACAGTATTAGTCAGGACCACTAACCCACCACTGTACCAGTCAGGACTACTAACCCACCACTGTACCAGTTAGGACCACTAACCCACCATTGTACCAGTCAGGACCACTAACTCAATACTGTACCAGTTAGGACCACTAATCCACCACAGTATTAGTCAGGAGCACTAACCCACCACTGTACCAGTCAGGACTACTAACCCACCACTGTACCAGTTAGAACCACTAACCCACCACTGTACCAGTCAGGACCACTAACTCAATACTGTACCAGTTAGGACCACTAATCCACCACAGTATTAGTCACTAACCACCACTGTAGTTAGGACTACTAACCCACCACTGTACCAGTTAGACCACTAACCCACCATTGTACCAGTCAGGACCACTAACCAATACTGTACCAGTTAGGACCACTAATCCACCACTCAGGAGCACTAACCCACCACTGTACCAGTTAGTTCAGGACCACTAACCCACCATTGTACCAGTCAGGACCACTAACTCAATACTGTACCAGTTAGGACCACTAATCCACCACAGTATTAGTCAGGAGCACTAACCCACCACTGTACCAGTTAGGACTACTAGCCCACCACTGTACCAGTTAGGACCACTAACCCACCATTGTACCAGTCAGGACCACTAACTCAATACTGTACCAGTTAGGACCACTAATCCACCACAGTATTAGTCAGGAGCACTAACCCACCACTGTACCAGTCAGGACTACTAACCCACCACTCTACCAGTTAGGACCACTAACCCACCATTGTACCAGTCAGGACCACTAACTCAATACTGTACCAGTTAGGACCACTAATCCACCACAGTATTAGTCAGGAGCACTAACCCACCACTGCACCAGTTAGGACTACTAGCCCACCACTGTACCAGTTAGGACCACTAACCCACCATTGTACCAGTCAGGACCACTAACTCAATACTGTACCAGTTAGGACCACTAATCCACCACAGTATTAGTCAGGAGCACTAACCCACCACTGTACCAGTTAGGACTACTAGCCCACCACTGTACCAGTTAGGACCACTAACCCACCACTGTACCAGTCAGGACCACCAACCACCAATGTACCCGTTATGACCACTAGCCCACCACTGTACCTGTCAGGACCACTAAGCCATTACTGTACGAGTCAGGACCACTAACCCACCACTTTACCAGACAATGCCACTGACCCACCACTCTACCAGTTAGGACCACACACCAATTACTATCCTAGTCATAACTACTAACTCACCACTATATCAGTCACGACTATTAACCTACCAATGTATCAGTCAGGTTAACAGTCCACTCTCGAAGTTTTACGTATAAGATCCTGTAGAGAAAGTTTGTTTCTTAGGCTAGTCTCATGAGATACTGGGGCTACTCCCAGAACCTTGTGGTCGTAATGTTGATGATCTACCTTTATTATCTTCTACCGACATAAGAACGGTAAGTGGCGAACCTGATGAATCGTCAACCTGAAAACGTTGAACCATTGCAACAACTTTGTCTATTAAAATTTTATATCTCAAAAGACGTAGCAATAATGATATCTCTATCATCTGAGACTGTTAAAACTCTTCACAGTAGATTATATCTTGGAGAAACATTTTATGAGTTCTTTATCCTATCTGCACCGATAATCTGTTGGTGCCTAAAGAGCTTATTTCAAAGCACAACCTTCAGTGTCTCATCTCAACGATGAGCGAAAAGTACATGGTATGTAAGAAATCATTTCTGCTTTACGAGGGAAAGGTTAGTGTAAACCATGTGGTACACTAATCATGAACTGTGGCAGTGTTTATAAACTGTTTACTATAACAACATCCTTCTTAGTGATGGATACACAGCTGATGTAGGTAACCGCTAGAAACTAGATAGAATGACAGCAACATATTTATAATAGGGAAATTATTTCGGCAATATATCAGACCTAAAGGAACAAATACTAGCATTGAATATCAAACATTGAATATATTAACTGATGGAATTGACTACATTTAACAATACATAGCAACAACGAAAGACTAACAGGAGCTTAAGAACCTAATGGCAAATATGAGTACACAAAGATCAGCCAAATATATTACATACCAACAAGCTCACCTCATGCCAGATAAAAAACAAAGTGAAGCAATAGAAGAGCCGAGGGTGCTCAAGACTGACTGGACTATGTATGTGAGGAGCGACTCTGCAGTGACCCGTGTCTTGTCGTTGGGGCATATGGGAAGGATTGTGAAGCTTGACTAATTTACAAGATGATCGCATGCCTGGCTATAATCTTTGATTGCTGAATATGGTGATACAACAGTTGGCTTGTCCTAAACGAGCGACCCTGGTGTTCGGTAATTCTAACCCTCAGAGTTCTAGCTATTTGGCATTGTCCTTATTTAGGGTAGCAGACTTCCTTATACAAACAATATCTCACGAGTCGGCAATCAAACCCTGGGGCCTCTGCGTGTGAACAGGGATCGCTACCCCCATGCCACAATGACAACAAAAGCAATCCTGGGCTTTGTTTTATTTCACAAAAAGACTGTTCATTCGCATTTGTTAAGCAATGGAGGTTTGCGATGCTTAACAAAGACAAATGAACAGGCTTTGTGTGATATAAAACAAAGCCTAGGATTGCTTTTGTTGTCCTTGTGGCTTAGTTCAGTTTAACAAATTTATTGACAAAGCTTGGAGTACAGTCTGCCTATTCTGAGTAATCCAGTCAGGTCTCGACACTGAGGGTGGTATCACTTCTCACTGCCACGGAGGACAGGGGTTCATACACAAAGAAATACATCATATTCATTAACAGTATATATA